AATTATAGGAGCCTCGCCTATCTTGTGCAGTGCTGTTTTCTTGGTTAACGTTTCATCAGGCTCGTCCCCTTCTCCTTCTACCGAAATAAACGAATACATTCGGTGTGAATTGTTACACAAACACTAAATTGAACTAAGGAAATAAATTCAACCAAGGGAGCAAGTGCATATGTGTCAGTGTGCTAATGGGTGGTTGAATAGATTTTTCCAACTATCTGATTTAGTCGGTTATTTCTTTCAAACAATTTGTAACTCTTGTCTACATACCACTTGCACGCGCCGGGTCTACCAATTCTAGAGAGGGGAAAGACAAAAAAAATTTACTCTTACAATCAGCAAAGATGCAGAGGCGCGGAGGTAATTCTGCCCGTATTTGACTGGGAATGAGAAGGTTTTGCAACAAGCGCAGAACCTATCCAGTCTGTAATAAACAGATTGCAGTTTTATTTTGCCGTTGCCATTTTTTAACTTGTAGTGATAGTTATCCTTGGCCTGTAATACATGAATAAAAAATGAATTTATACGATAAGGAAGTTATTTTTACTCATACCAAATTCCTTGTAATCATCGCCGATTTCATCCTCCTGATCTTCGAGCAGGAAGTAAAAAAAAAAAAAAAATTAAAACAAATTATGAAAACAAACATTGAAAATAGAGGGTGAAAGTGAAACGTGACAATGTGCAGCTGTACTAAAAGTTCCGGCCGACGTGTATGCCTTATCACACATATTGACAGCTCTTTATGATCAGCGAAAGGGATCTAATCTAAACACTATTACGCTACTAACTATTTTTTTACTTTCATTATAATTTTGATGTTTACCATTTTCCATGTATTCATCATTAAGGTCCTCTTCCGAATCTTCCGACATAAATCAAAGCAGATGAGACAAATTAGAAGGCAGAGAAGGAGAAAATTTTGATCATGAAAATTATGATAATCAGTTAGCCTCGAAGTTCATTGCGTGGGGAGTAACCAACTTACATTTTTATCTTTCAAGGACCTTCATTTACTCAAATTGAGGTCCAAGTGCCAAAAAAACGGCTTTGGTCAATTAGAAAAAAGACGGAGGTGCTTACAGTTACTGTTGTTGTCATTCCTTCTATTAATGTTGTTGCCTTTGTTGTTCATGTCCCTCATGCACCGGGTTATTTTGCTGATCTTTTTGCATTATACGGGAATAAACGTCGAAAAGCAATTAGGAATTGGGTAAAGAAAATCCCGCGCAGTTCAATGAAATTTCATTTGCATGCACTTCTCAGGGAGTTTTTTTGATAAGGTTTAGGGCACTGTTCTCTCAACAGCGAAGCACTTCGTTTTCGTAGTCGTTATAAAAGGCAAAATAATATCGCCCTACCCAACCACATAATATTCTCTTTGTTTGCAGCTTCTAAACAGTAACTAACCTCTAACTTCCTGCTGTTCTTCTTTTAGGTAGGGCCTTGCGTAAGTAACCGAAAGCAAAAAGACAACAAGACAAAGTTTCAGAAACATTTTGATGCGCCTCGAAGTTAAGACAAAACACAAATTAAGCTTACTCCCTTATTTGACTTTTTTATATATCATCTCATGGATTCTAAGTGGCAGTTGAATGGCACAAATAATTAAGGTGCCTCAACGTAATGCTTTTAATTTTGTGCGTGCGTTTGAACAACTGCTGGAGTCCGTAATGAGTCGTCAGATCGACTTCCCCGGCATTATCTAATAAAGACGAGAAGAGATGCTTTTACACCTTAAAAACTTAAATGAAGCTCATAGTCTTAGTTGTTCTAAAGTTTTAATATATCTAGTTCATTTCACGAGTCATGGCGATGAATTGGATATCTAGATAAATCAAGTTGACAACGGTTTTTTATCAAATGTTTAATCAACTGCTCTAGCCATTAGTTGTTTATCTGACTATTATCTCGTGGCATCATAACGGACACTTGCCTTTGAGGTTTCTTTTTCCTTTTTTCTTTTTTTCTTTCTTTTCTTTTTTCTTTTTTTTCAATTAGGAGAATCGTCTAACGCTTTGATATCCGCTCGATGTCATATTCAAATGAAAAAGAAAAGGACTAGATAGAGTGAAGCATCTTAATAATTTACCCTAATCCCCCTTACTCCAGAAAAACACAACCAAACAAAAGAGAAAATATAATGAGATGCAATGAAATATGATAAAAGGAAATAACAACTAATAAGGTCAAATGGCTGGAAAAAAAATGAAAAAGATTAGTGCCCATGTGGATAATTTAAACATTAAAATCGTTAGACATCTTTTCTGTAACGTTTAAGTTTTCTGACTTAATGTTTGACTTTAATTTTTAGAATTGCAAGCAAAATTTTGCAAATAAATATTAGCTTTTAACCTTCCTTATCCAGAAATTCCCCTAAGGGAAAACGGCTGGCTCGATTTTAGCTCCAAATATTTTAAACGAGAGAAGGAAGATGTATTTTGTTCTTGCCTTGGGAAAAACGAGTGAACCGTTCTATGAGAAAAAACTATGCAAACACAGGCTGCTGAGCAGCTGGTTCATCGATAAGGAAGGATGATGGTGCGTTTTATGGGTGATATTTACCACTATCTCTATTTATCAATTTATCTTTTTATTCGTCAATCACTTTATTTTACGAAGTGACTGGAAATGACACGATTATCGTCAAGAACTTTCGATAATCAATTTTCCGATAAACTGATCTCGAAACGTTTGTCACGGATCCACCGATGGATGTTTACGTTGAACTCAAGGCTGTACAAACATATTTAAAAGGATCATTCTACATATACGGTTCTCTTCATACCTTTTCAGAACGCTAAAAATCTATTTGGCTTTTAACGTGTATTTTGCCATGGATTTTGTAGAGAAATGTATTGATCATTGCCCAATTGGGTAGAGTTTATGGACAATGCCGAAATAAAATGCTTATCAACAAGAGAGCGATATGAACTAAGTCCATTCATAATATGGAAATCCATATAGACACGTGTTCTGGTAACAAATGACATGATGGTATAGCTTCGATTCAAGATGTGACACTTGACAGTTTTGGGAATCCTCCCACATGTTAAGTCATCTTGCATTGCATAATTAAGGGCTCATTGAACACTCTCTTTGTGCTGAAAGCATGGGGACATTAAGAAATACTCTTTTAGAATTAAGTGTAGTCTAAATTTAGTTTCTGCTTTGTGCGGATATTGAGAATATGCACAGGTGATTTGTGACTTGCCAGCAAGTAACACAACAAGATCTCCATCTCAAAACTGAACCTAACCAAACTTCACACAGTTTTGTCTAAATGGATCAGGGACACGTCTAAGTCTAATACAACTTCAAGAAATCGACTCAAACCACATGGATAGAAAACAGGAAAATTTTGAAAGGAAAAAAAAAGGATAGTAATAATCAATGTTGGCGCGCGCGCCATCCTGATGAAATCTGAAATTTAAAATATTCGAATTTCTTCATCCTAATAGCTCTTTTTTCGTAACAAGCTCTACTACACTCTCTTCTTCGTGATGTTACGAATGGTCCCTACTTCCAAGGCTTTTTTAAAGTCTGTAGTATCTTACACATCTCGCTCACAGGCTAATATTGCGTCTAAATTTTAACACAATATACTTATTCTGCAAAAGACACATACATTAAAGTAATAAAGGGGTAAGTTTCTAAAGAAACTGTGGTGCTGCGTCAGTGGGAGAGTATAGCAGGTAATTTAGTGTTAACAACTGGGTTGAAAACGTAAATTAGCCACCGTAAAGGGTAAAAAAGCTGACGTTTCGAAGTCGTCTATCGCTCTGACGAAGGGCTAACGCTCGAAACGTCAGCTTTTTTACCCTTTACGGTGGCTAATTTTCGTTTTCAATCCAGTTGTTAACACTAAATTACCTACATTAAAGTAAGATGATCAATATCCACTGTAGTATGCTATGTCTTTAGTTAAGTATGACACGTTGCAATCGTGATAAAATCGGTCGTTCCCTGAAGCGCTAGAATTTGGTTTTGTTACCTTCTGCAGGCCATTTTCTAGTCTTGCGAAATAAATAGACGGAAAATAAGAAAAGGAAAAGCTTAGAAGTAGTTATTTCTGTGCTTTTGTGATCGGCTAATGCTTCTTCGACCAAAAAAATAATTTCAAGGACAGGTAGCCCAGATGATCTATTAAGCACTTATAGTCAAATTAATTGTTTTGGGCTCACGTTACTAGAAACCACTTAAATCAATAAGCAATTCCTAACAGCATTGAGGTTAGCCTTTCTGGAAATGATTTAATTTCGTTTTGTAATATTTAGTGGGCCATTCCCTAATCTAGCAGAATAATGAAAATAAACATTGTTTCTGTTGTTTTGTGAGCGACCACTTTTTCTTTGACCAAAACATGATTTTCAAGGACAGTTTTCCTCATTGATTTATTCAGCACTTAGAGTCCACTAATTTGTTTTAGGCTCATGTCAGTTTAAAGCATTTAAATCAATAAGCAATTGTTAACAACACTGAGTTCATCTATTCTGATAATTCTGACTCACTCACAAGGAGAGAAACCTTACAGCGCTTCCTTATGGACTTCTATTACAATCTGCATCAAATTAAAAGCAAATTTTCGAACTTCGACGATGTAGCAAGGGAAAAAAAACGACAATGTATTCTAGCTCTGAAAAAAAAAATCCCCAAGGTATCAGACTCCCACAAAACAAAAACACTGTCGTTGCTTGAGTAATAATAATATCAGTAGAGATATCCTCCTAGTAATTGCTATAAATAATATCAGTAGAGATATCTTTCTGGTATTTACAATATATATTATCAGTAAAGATATCCTCCCAGTATTTACAATAAATAATATCAGTAGAGACATCCTCCTGGTATTTACAATGAATAATATCAGTAGAGATTCCTCCTAGTATTTACAATAAAAGGTATCAATAGAGATATCCTCCTAGTATTTGCAATAAATAATATCAGTAGAGATATCCTCCTAGTATTTACAATAAATAATATCAGCAGAGATATCCTACTAGTATTTACAATAAATAATATCAGTAGAGATATCCTCCTAGTATTTTCAATAAACGTACCTAAAAAGACTTTAAAAAAATTGTAAAGATTTTAAGACCACATTTAGGGCAGCGCAGAATAAACTTTCTGAATAATTTCAACGCTTTAAAGGTGTAAAAGTCTCACAAAATCATCGCCATGTTGAAAGGTTGTCGGAACTTGCCAATATTTAGAATACAATTAAGTTGGGCACGACTGTTTCTAGATATATTTAGAGGAGTTTAAGAAAGAGCAAAAAATGGTGATACTGTAAACAGTCCAGTCTTTCTTTTTCTAAAGAAAAACAAAAATACAGGAATCAATATTTGCAAAATACATTTTATTTTTTATACCCCAATATTAGTCTTTTGTACTGAATTTAACCTTGGTTCCTTAAAATTACTTCAGTCAGAAAAGGTAAAATTTCCTCTCTTTATGTATAAAGAAAGATTTACCTGCTCTTCAGATCAATTTCACTGTTGATATCCCAACACAGCAGTGATCAACAGGAATATCGTTACATGTATTCAGTATAGACCTAAGTACTAATCTATTAATAGATCTAATTTTACGCACTTGGTTTCCACTAATTTGTTTGCTCCTTACGTCGTTGTCAAGCATTAAAAATCAATCATTAGTTCTTTTAGACGTTTCTCTCTCAATAATCTTCCGCTTGATGGACAACAGTTTTACCTTTTTTTCTAATTGGGGAAGAGTTCAAATTTTAATGATATAACTGCAATATCTAAGCAGCAGGTCATTTCTATCGAAGTACTACTCGGTGAAGCTTTGCAATCGAAACTATCCAGGACATAAAATCAAAAATATTAGACCAGCATATTGCCAAACTATGTAACATCAATTTAACATATTGAATTCTAAAGCTTTCTACAGCTTTTTAGAATTTTGAAAGCTCAGTCTTTTTTGAGATTTTAAGAATGTACCCAGAAAGAGCTTCCTCTCGTATCAAAACTCTATATCTGATTATTCTACTTATTGAAGCTTCTGTTAAATGATGCTGTTCCGTAGAATTATTTTAGTTTCTCCTGTTGACTTTTTGCCATTCGCCCTGACTACATGCTTAACCCATAGGAAAGAGCTGAAAGTTTTGGTTTGGTAGGATGCTAATCAGTGAGGCCCTATTATTAAATCTACGCAAGACAAAAAAATGAAAAAATATCAGACAAGTAAATTGTCCAACCATGTAACATGAAATTGACGTATTCGTAAGTCTAAATATAACTGTTCTTAATTTAGAAGTTCAATTTTCGGCTGAGCTTTAGAAATAATCAAAACAAAAAGAGAAGCAACTAGTATCACAACATTATTCATATCCCCAAGGCTTCTGTTGCATAGTGTTGTTCCGTAGAATTGTTCTTGATGCAGTTTATTGTCTGCCGTGCGCATTAACTTCAAGCTCAACCTCTCTATTTTTAGCCTTGGAATATTAAGAGTGCTTGAAGAATCATATTTCCGACACCTCAATGCCTTTGTTTTGTCATCCATTGCACCATATAATATTACTTTTATTTGCCTATTTTTAATCCTCCCCTAATAAATTACGTGCAAAGCATGCAATGTAATGTATTGAGTTTTGGTTCTATAGTATTGGCACCTGTATGAAACCCATAAATGGACCGATGAGGATGTCTCCAGAGCCATTCTCTGCCAGGAGTTAAAACGGCTTCAGCCATGCAGATGAAACTTTTGTTGATCAGCTGTTTCCTTTTAGGAGCCTGTGCAGCCTCTTACCTAGCGGAAAAACGGGAAGGTATTGGATCAAAATTACGAGAGCATGATTATTTTTGTCAGACCATTCCTTTTTCCATTAGTCCAATGGCGTTACTTTTATTAAGTACTCTTTTTTTCCTTTCCTAGATGCTCCTCTGACTGAGGATACAGGTCACTTTAAGAAGCTACTTAGTTACTTTTTGAAGCCTGATTAAAAAAAAGTTTTCCCAGAAAAGAAAAGAATACTCATAGGAATTATCTTCAATACAGTTCTCACGAATGTGGATTAGAAAGCAACTCTAAGTCTCCTAAAAAGTGCCGAGACTCTCTCCATTTAATTACCGGTCTGGTTGTTTTCAAATGAAAACCAGCGTACTCTACTTTGATTTTCACCTTTAATCAGTTTTTTTTGCCTTCTTAGCCCAAGAAGATCTGAATGACGAAGACTTCGAGACTGCCTTTGATAAATTTGACGGGGAGAATGATGAGGAGCCGGAAAATGAAGATGAAGCATTTGACGAATTAAGAGATGAAGAAAACGAGAGGGATGCTAAGGAATTAGAAGAAATGAACGATGAAGACGAAGAGCCAGGTAAGTGTTGATTCTGCTAACCGAGTTCTGTCTCCACTTCGGAGATGAGATTCAAGTTATAATGTCAATGACGAGAGTTTGGAATTTTTCTTCTCATTGGGAAGAAACTCGTGAAAGAACAGTTTAGGATAAACAGGGGTAATTTTAATGATCATTTTCTGCATCGAGAAAGTTCTTTTAGCAGGTTTTGGTTGACAACAGTTGAAAGTTAGCATGAAATGTAGTATGGGAAGGAACAAAAACTCAACTCTTGCGAGGTTTTTATTTTAATCGCACATAAGAAAGAAAGAGAAGAATATTGCTCACTACACTGATTATACCAACAGGATCCATATAATGTCTGAATTTGTCTTATCATGGGGATTACCGGGTGATTTACTTCTTTGGAAAAGAAGATCAATTACGTGGGACATGATGCCACAATTATCAATGAAGTAAACTGTGAGAAAAGCACTTTCTAACCAGATGTTACGATTTTTGTTCCATCAGGTGAAGATGAAGTTTCTGAGGATCCAAGACCGGTACCAAGAAAGTCAAAAAAGAAATATGGTAAAGTTATTCAACATTTCTTGATCTTATATTTTGATTTATGATCCATGAAACGTTCTTGCTCCCGCACAATTGATATTCGGTCAGGTGGCCGAATATCCCCTGCTACAACTGGGCATAGTCAAGGATATCACGCAACCGATAGCTTTTAATTCAAGAAGATATAGCAGAAAATGGGAATTATCTGTTTGTTCATAAAATCGTACTGGAGAACGCTCAAAAGAAACATTCGGTGCGCGCTGCCAAATGTTTGAATGATAATAGTTACAAAGCCTATATTTTACGCAAAAAATATACTCGTATGTTTGTCCTTGGACATTATCTGTTCCTCTAAGCTCTTAGGTTTCCTCGAGCTTCGCTCTCGGAAACTGTTCGCATCTTGGAACAGAGAATGTCCGAGGATAAACATTCCTGTATATTTTTACGCCAAGTAGAGGCTATTGTTTCCATCTTGCTAAGATATAACTATAATATCAGACAATTATCTTGTAAAATATGGAGAGAAATGTTAATGAATGGGCCCTTTGTCTGATTCTGAGATTTTTATGTTCGATAATCCATCGTTTGATATTAATGGTCTAAATATTTTTTTTCGTAATTATTTTAAGGTTATTTGTATAGGAAAGGAAAAGGCTACCGCAAGTACCGGAAAAAACCTAAGAAAAGCTACCGTAAAGCCTACCGGAAATATCGTTCCCGAAAGGGTTACTACCCAAAAAAAGGAAAGGGTTACGGCTACCGCTACAGCTACCGCTACCCATACTACCCCTACGGTCGTTAGAATGGTGAGTCTTTCACAACTATCGATTAAGGATTGCTACAAGCTTGTAATCGCGTAGAAAATTGAGGGCATCTTTTAGACAAGAAATGCATGTACTCGTCCTTGTTGAGTTCTCTCTACTACTTGTTAGATGCCATAGATAAGTACGCTTGTCCCAACTGGCCTCATTACTCACTTAAGTAACTTTATAAAGGACTCTTTCTCACTTTGTTTTCTCTATTTCAGGTTTGGCGTGAATGATTAGACTGGACCAAGACTCACGCAAGATTAAGAAAGTTGCTTTAAAGTCATAGATGAAATTGTAGCTTTAAAAGCGTTAAATAAATTATTTTGGTTCAATTGACATCCTTGTTTTCTTTTTTTATTTCATTTTATTTATTTATTTATTTATCTGCTGCAAACCGTAAGCTACACAATCCACATCACAGTTGACTAAATTCTGAAATAAATGATTTGAATATTTTCATCTTGTCCTAAACGTTTATCAGCACGCTTTATCACTGCTTTCCAGCGGTTTCAACCTTTAGTGGCATTCATTTGTCAAACAACAAACACATAATACAACATGAATGAAATAAAATAATGCTAGGTTTACAAAAACCACAAAAGTCATATATAACTAAATATTGTGATACTTGATCGGAAAATAAGATAAGAAATCTTCAGTCCATACTTGTAGGTGATAAAGTAGAAATGAAACTGAACTAAAGGCTTGAGTTAGTCGCGAGGCTGGGGATACGTAAATAATTTGGAGTGATTTTTATCAGGGTTGAATTTAATCCCTCATTATAACTATTATACAAGTTCTTAACTCCAAGGAATAAGGCAGGATAAAGCTGCGCCTGAAAATAAAGATCTGCTGCTGTGTGCTGCTCTCTAGTCTAAAATAAAATTTAAAAAAAAAATTAGCAGTGATTGGTAACTGGTGGTATGACATTGATTCTGATAACATCCTTTGAATAGTCAAATCCACAATTATAATACTAGGAATGCTCAGTCCTTCCGTTTGCCACTGTGCAGAACGAACACCAGGAACATTCAAGATTTTTATAATTCGTTAAATAACATCCTCTCTAAATTGTCCACGTTCCAACTTAGTTTATTTGTGTGTGTGTGTGTGACTCGGTCTGAATTACCATAAGTCCATATTGTAATTCTAATATAAGATTAGTTAATACTTGTTATAAGCCTCGTGGTTTCTTTCAAAGTTTTTCGTCATTTATTTTCTGTCATCAATTTTCTTCATTTTTTTGTTTCATTGTAATATCAGAAGTTCCAATTATTATTTCTTCCAAAGCATTTGTTTCATTTATTGAACGATTTGTCTTTATTGAACGATTTTTTACATTCTGTCAACCGCAAGCCTGATATCTTAGCTATTACTGAAACGAGACTATCAAACCGGACAGTAAAAAATGTTGATATCCTCAACTAAGATTTCTTCTACACCAACCCACTAAAACAGACTAGCGGTTTGGGGCTATATGTCTCGAAAAATCCTAATGCCATTCATAGACCTGATTTAAAGTTTACTATACCATTGAACGAATCATCCTGGTGAGAAATAACGTCAGGGAATGGGAGACCTAATATAATTGTTGGTTCCTTTTTCCGCCATCCTACTTATAATTTACCTGCTTTTACTTTTGAATTTGAAACTTTGTTTTAAGAGGCAATTCAGTATGAGATATACATTCTTGGGGATCTTAAAATAGATCTCCTGGAATATAGTGAGCATTTATTATCTGAAGAGTACCTAAATATGCTCTATTCTTACAATCTACTACCTTTAATAACAAAACCAACCAGGCTCGCTCATCATACTTCTACTCTGACTGACTACATTTACGCAAATTCTAATTTGAGTGTGAATGCCGGCATTGCGCTGGTTGATGTCTCAGATCATTCTATTACCAGTGCTTGATCGACAAATATCAAGGTAAAGGAGAGCATTTTATTTTCGTGATTATGACAACTTAGATGTGGACCAGTATGTTAGAGATGTTGATACGGTTGATTTGATCAATGTATATAATGAATCCATTGATATTCACGAGGAAGCTGTTAACTGTATGAGTATACTGAAGCAAAATAGAAACAAGAATGCACATATAAAGAAAAAGGAGACAATTGGCCAAACAGATAACAACGGTATGCGGGACATTTAAGCTCATTCATGAATGAAGCTGTCTTTTTCATATTGTTGTTGAAAGTGACAACATCCTCACCATTTAACTCCTTTTCAACTCGTGAATTGCGCGCATGCGCAAGAGCAAGTTGTAGATATGATGTGGAGAAGGGCACTCGCTCGCTCGCTGGCTCGATTGGTCGATTCCTGTTAACCCTTTTTTCGATTTTAGGCTTTTGAGTGCATTTGATAGTTTTTGGCGAGCAATACCCGTACGAAATGGCGACCGTTGTTGCTAAGAATAGTGGTGGGGTGAAAAAGAAGCCAAAATAAGAGGATTTTTTTTTTTTAGTTTCAACAAGCGGCGCCAGCGACCGGCAGGCATGCAAGGATTCAAACTGAAACAACATAACAACCTTCGTTTTTCATAAAATTGTAATTTACAATCCTTGAACTTGAAAACAATCCGAAGATTCATTGAAAATATCACTTACTGCGAAGCGCTCGGAGTTTACAGATGTTCAAAAGCTTTTTCTGTTATGGCGTGAGGTTGAGGACAAAATCGATCATTACGTTTCGTATCGTGTGTTTTTCCTGTGTGAAGCAACATGAGATGCCGGCGAGTGACGAAATTACAAGTTATCTCGAAAATCAAATAACACCTAAACAAACAATTTTAGCTACCGACTTTCAGTGAATTTTTAAACCTCAACACCATGACAACTAACTGTGATCCAATGAGGTGTTCACATGCTGATCACGCATGTTATCTCGAAAATGGTTGACGTTGTCATGCACAGACAGGGCCGGGTCACATGACGAATCACGAGATTTTGCCTATAAAACTCTTTGGACATTTGTTTTGTATATCAACGTATTTGGGTTGCGATCTCCTGGAGCATTATGGCGCAAACGTGCAAAATACTTACAGATGCATATACAAGTAGTATTAATCGCGGCTAATCCACACTGAAAGATGTTATTGAGCGGTAATTTTGGAACGGATTGAGTCGCGAACGCTTGAAAGCCATGAAAGCCTTGAATGCCTTGTATGCTAAGTATGCCAATGTCTTAGTTGAAAAACGTTCACTTGTTGTAAAAAGCAAAATCTTAAATCTGAAACCAAACTGCATATACTCTATGCAATCTATTGAACAACACTACTACCGTGAGACTGAAGAACATAACTATAATGGATGCAAACTGCTTGTGAAGAAAGACGACATGTTGGGATTCACTTGATGGCAAGGAACGTGGCTACGATAACAGTACGAATGGTATTAATTTCACGATCAGAAAGGTGAATCTTATGTTTGTTTTCATTGTAGTTGTATGGAAATTCTTTTTTAATAAATACGTGATCCAAAACCCTGTGTTTTTTTGTGTATAATTTTATTATGTTAAATATTGTTTACGCAATTGTCTTGTCTCAGACAGCCCAAGGTCACGTCTCGAGAAAAAGTCAACGATAAATTCATGAACGCGTCACGCGTTGTGTGACTCGGTGTTAAGTTACGAGAGGAACTGCACGTCATAAGGAATAGTATAGGGAACGAAGTATGGTCGATTTACAACGATACATATTTCGAATACGAACATTTTTCTCATAAAATCAATAAAACTTACTCATACCCTGTGTATCCGTTGTATTTTCTGGCGATTTCTGCCGTTTTAAGCTTGCTCCACCATCACTGTTATTCACGTCATTTACTTTTATTACGTTGGTAAAATCTGTACAGACATCACACCAACCAACCCGCGCGCAAAGTAAGAAGACTACATTGAAGGCTTGAAGTAATATTGCGATCGATTGTCATCAAGGAATGGGCCAGGAATATCTCACAATAGTGCAAATAATCGTGAAGGCGGATCGCAGAAAAGCGATTGCGTGACGCTCGGGAAGCTGTAAGATGACATACTATTATATACTAGACGTAAAAACTCTTTAGAGTCTTAGTCTGCATTTTGTACCCACTCTGCAGTCTGCAGTCTATATTTTGTATACGGTCTGCAGTCTGCTGTCTGCATTTTGTACTAACAAATACAGTTTATTTTTGATTACATTTATTCGCAAAACACACATAATCTATCACAAAATACCTGTGAGTGAGGTAATTCGACATTTTCGTTCTTTCCCACATTAATATTCTTCTCTCCTTTTGTAAGAATGTAGACATCACTCACAATGTTTCAAGTAATCCACCCACCCTACAAAAAAGTAACTCTTGCATGCATAGCATGCCTATGATTTGAAAAAGGTGTATGCCCTTGGCCAGACTTGAGGGCACTATTTCAGTATACTAGTCCGACACCCGTAGTATCACTACACTTGATTCCAAGGATCCAATACCATCCAGGTATCCCAGTTACCCTGCTCACAGGGTCTAGTATCACTCAAAGTCGTTCCCGTTTGTCTCATTTGCTAAAGAGGGAATCGTTCATGTTTTCATTAAGACAGTGTTGCCTTGGTTTTCTAATATTTACAATGATAGACAGTTAATTTCACTTTTTACCCACATTTACTTCCAACTTTTTCTTTTGAACCAGAAACAAAATTGATATACGTTTAAAACACATGACATCATCCACCCTTGGCAAATGTAATAGCATGATCATTTCAACTGTAACGCCTTCTTATCCCGACGTTACTTTGTTTCTTTGCTGCGAACACTGAACTACTGCTCTTACTCTAGAAATGACAATCAACCACAAAATTCCCTAAACCAGATATCAATAAACATAGTCCAAAAAATCATGTGTCAATTCACGAGTTTGCTCACAGAGCACTTTGATTTATTATTATTTTCAAGGAAAAGGCAAAGTAGGATATAGGAAGTGTCGAGAAAAATCATCTGGAAAAGCTCGTTTAAGTAATGATAACGATAATGATAATGACAACAATAATTATAACGACAATGATAATGAAAATAGCGATGATAATGACAAAACAATATTCAAATCAAATGGGAATTAATCCTAGTGATAGAAAATTGATACCATGACAAAATACCTTATTTTGCCAATATTTGAGTAAATATCCTTAATATTTGTACTAACCGTGTTTACCACTGAAGTTCTCTGTGTCCGGAATCTTTCTCGAATAGTTAAGTTAATAAATCCCTCCACACCCATTGGCAATAAATAATATCAGTAGAGATATCCTCCTAGTATTTACAATAAATAATATCAGCAGAGATATCCTACTAGTATTTACAATAAATAATATCAGTAGAGATATTCTCCTAGTATTTATAATAAACATACCTAAAAAGACTTTAAAAGAATTGTAAAGATTTTAAGACCACATTTAGGGCAGCGCAGAATAAACTTTCTGAATAATTTCAACGCTTTAAAGGTGTAAAAGTCTCACAAAATCATCGTCAAGTTAAAAGGTTGTCGGAACTTGCCAATATTTAGAATACAATTAAGATGGGCACGACTGTTTCTAGATATATTTGGAGGAGTTTAAGAAAGAGCAAAAAATAGTGATACTGTAAACAGTCCAGTCTTTCTTTTTCTAAAGAAAAACAAAAATACAGGAATCAATATTTGCAAAATACATTTTATTTTTTATACCCCAATATTAGTCTTTTGTACTGAATTTAACCTTGGTTCCTTAAAATTACTTCAGTCAGAAAAGGTAAAATTTCCTCTCTTTATGTATAAAGAAAGATTTACCTGCTCTTCACATCAATTTCACTGTTAATATCCCAACACAGCAGTGATCAACAGGAATATCGTTACATGTATTCAGTATAGACCTAAGTACTAATCTATTAATAGATCTAATTTTACGCACTTGGTTTCCACTAATTTGTTTGCTCCTTACGTCGTTGTCAAGCATTAAAAATCAATCATTAGTTCTTTTAGACGTTTCTCTCTCAATAATCTTCTTATTGATGGACAACAGTTTTACATTTTTTCTAATTGGGGAAGAGTTCAAATTTTGATGATATAACTGCAATATCTAAGCAGCAGGTCATTTTCATCGAAGTACTACTTGGTGAAGCTTTGCAATCGAAACTATCCAGGACATAAAATCAAAAATATTAGACCAGCAAATTTCCCAACTTTGTAACATCAATTTAACACATTGAATTCTAAATACAAATTTTTAGAATTTTGAAAGCTCAGTCTTTTTTGAGATTTTAAGAATGTACCCAGAAAGAGCTTCCTCTCTTATCAAAACTCTACATCTGATTATTCTACTCATTGAAGCTTCTGTGAAATGATGCTGTTCCGTGGAATTATTTTAGTTTCTCCTGTTGATTTTTTGCCATTCGCCCTGACTACATGCTTAACCCATAAGAAAAAAGCAGAAATTTCTGGTTTGGCAGGATGCTAATCAGTGAGGCCCTATTATTAAATCTACGCAAGACAAATAAATGAAAAAATATCAGACGAGTAAATTGCCCAACCATGTAACATGAAATTGACGTATTCGTAAGTCTAAATATAACTGTTCTTAATTTAGAAGTTCGATTCTCTGCTGAGATTTAAAAATAATCAAAACAAAAAGTGAAGCAACTAGTATCACAACATTATTCAGATCCCCAAGGCTTCCGTTTCATAGTTTTGTTCCGTAGAATTGTTCTTGATGCAGTTTATTGTCTGCCGTGCGCACTAACTTCAAGCTCAACCTCTCTATTTTTAGCCTTAGAATATTAAGAGTGCTTCAAGAAACATATTTCCAACACCTAAATGCCTTTGTCTTGTCATCCATTGCACCATATAATATTACTTTTATTTGCCTATTTTTAATCTTCCCCTAATAAATTACGTGCAAAGCATGCAATGTAATGTATTGAGTTATTCTTCTATAGTATTGGCATCTCTATGAAACCCATAAATAGACCGATGAAGGTGTCACAAGAGCCATTCTCTGCCAGGAGTTAAAACGGCTTCAGCCATGCAGATGAAACTTTTGTTGATCAGCTGTTTCCTTCTTGGAGCCGGTACAGCCTCTTACCTAGCGGAAAAGCGGGAAGGTATTGGATCAAAATTACGAGAGCATGATTATTTTTGTCCGACCATTCCTTTTTCTATTAGTCCAATGGAGTTTCTTTTATTAAGTACTCTTTTTTTCCTTACCTAGATGCTCCTCTGAGTGAGGATACAGGTCACTTTAAGAGGCTACTTAGCTACTTTTTGAAGCCTGATTAAAAAAAAGTTTTCCCCGAAAAGAAAAGAATACTCATAGGAATTATCTTCAATACAGTTCTCACGAGTGTGGATAAGAAAGCAACTCTCCTTGGAAGTGTCGAGACTCTCCCCATTTAATTACCGGTCTGGTTGTTTTCAAATGAAAACCAGCGTACTCTACTTTGATTTTCACCTTTAATCAGTTTTTTTTGCCTTCTTTTTCCCCCTAAAATAGCACAAGAAGTTGAAGATCTGAATGACGAAGACTTCGAGACTGCCTCTGATAAATTTGACGGGGAGAATGATGAGGAGCCGGAAAATGAAGATGAAGCATTTGAAGAATTAAGAGATGAAGAAAACGAGAAGGATACTAAGGAATTAGAAGAAATGAACGATGAAGACGAAGAGACAGGCAAGTGATGATCCTGCTAACCGAGTTCTGTCTCCACTTCGGAGATGAGATCCAAGTTATAATGTCAATGACGAGAGTTTGGAATTTTTCTTCTCATTGGGAAGAAACTCGTGAAAGAACAGTTTAGGATAAACAGGGATGATTTTAATGATCATTTTCTGCATCGAGCAAGTTCTTTTAGCAGGTTTTGGTTGACAACAGTTGAAAGTTAGCATGAAATGTAGTATGGGAAGGAACAAAAGCTCAACTCTTGCGAGGTTTTTGTTTTACTCGCACATAAGAAAGAAAGAGAAGAATATTGCTCACTACACTGATTATACCAACAGGATCCATATAATGTCTGAATTTGTCTTATCATAGGGATTACCGGGTGATTTACTTCTTTGGAAAAAAAGATCAATTACGTGGGACAAGATGACACAATTATCAATGAAGTAAACTGCGAGAAAAGCACTTTCTAACCAGATGTTATGATTTTTGTTCCATCAGGTGAAGATGAAGTTTCTGAGGATCCAAGACCGGTGCCAAGAAAGTCAAAAAAGAAATATGGTAAAGTTATTCAACATTTCTTGATCTTATATTTTGATTTATGATCCATGAAACGTTCTTGCTCCCGCACAATTGATATTCGGTCAGGTGGCCGAATATCCCCTGCTAAAACTGGGCATAGTCAAGGATATCACGCAACCGATAGCTTTTAATTCAAGAAGATATAGCAGAAAATGGGAATTATCTGTTTGTTCATAAAATCGTAGTGGAGAACGCTCAAAAGAAACATTCGGCGCGCGCTGCCAAATGTTTGAAGGATAATAGTTACAAAGCCTATATTTTACGCAAAAAATACACTCGTATGTTTGTCCTTGGACATTATCTGTTCCTCCAAGCTCTCAGGTTTCCTCGAGCTTCGCTTTCGGAAACTGTTCGCGTCTTGGAACAGAGAATGTCCGAGGATAAACATTCCTGTATATTTTTACGCCAAGTAGAGGCTATTGTTTCCATCTTGCTAAGATATAACTATAATATCAGACAATTATCTTGTAAAATATGGAGAGAAATGTTAATGAATGGGCCCTTTGTCTGATTCTGAGATTTTTATGTTCGATAATCCATCGTTTGATATAATGGTCTAAAGTATTTTTTTTCGTGATTATTCTAAGGTTATTTGTATTGGAAAGGAAAAGGCTACCGCAAGTACCGAAAAAAACCTAAGAAAAGCTACCGTAAAGCCTACCGGAAATATCGTTCCCGAAAAGGTTACTACCCAAAAAAAGGAAAGGGTTACGGCTACCGCTACAGCTACCGCTACCCATACTACCCCTACGGTCGTTAGAATGGTGAGTCTTTCACAAATATCGATTAAGGATTGCTACAAGCTTGTAATCGCGTAGAAAATTGAGGGCATATGTTAAACAAGAAATGCATGTACTAGTCCTTGTTGAGTTCTCTCTACTACTTGTGACATGCTATAGATAAGTACGCTTGTCCCAACTGGCCTCATTACTCACTTAAGTAACTTTATGAAGGACTCTTTCTCACTTTCTTTTTTCTATTTCAGGTTTGGCGAGAATGATTAGACTGGACCAAGAATCACGCAAGATTAAGAAAGTTGCTTTAAAGTCATAGCTGAAATTGTAGCTTTAAAAGCATTAAATAAACTTTTTTGGTTCAATTGACATCCTTGTTCTCTTTTTTATTTCACTTTATTTATTTATTTATCTGCTGCAAACCGCAAGCTACACAATGCACATCACAGTTGACTAAATTCTGAAATAAATGATTTGAATATTTTCATCTTGTCCCAAACGTTTATCAGCACGCTTTATCACTACTTTCCTGCGGTATCAACCTTTAGTGGCAACATGAATGAAAGAAAATAATGCTAGGTTTCCAAAAACCACAAAAGTCATATATGACTAAATATTGTGATACTTGACCGGAAAATAAGATAAGAAATGAAACTGAACTAGAGGCTTGAGTTAGTCGCGAGGCTGGGGAAACGTAAATAATTTGGAGTGATTTTTATCAGGGTTGAATTTAATCCCTCATTATAACTATTATACAAGCTCTTAACTCCAAGGAATAAGGCAGGATAAGGCGGCGCCTGGAAATAAAGATCGTATTAATCATCCTTTTATATATTCGATGAGTGCATCGCTCATCGGTTTATGGTGCATCACTCATCGGTTTATGGAGCATCACTCAAAGTCTTATGGAGCACTACTCTGGCCCTCGTTTAACAAAAAAATACCGTGGCAGTTTTTAACCCAACACCAGCAGTTACAAAAAAAGCACAAATTTGTCCACATTCAGTTTTTAATTCATATCTCAACAAATATTTACAGGAATAACACCTACAATATGTCATTTTAAAGTGTATAGAATGGGCTTCTCAGGAAAAAAAAATTCATCATTGAAACCCAGGACTTTCCTAAAAAGTAAAATTTAAAACACAAAATAAGTAAGACATAGTGTAAAACTTGAGGTCAAAATTCACTTTTCCTCACAGGTATAGGTTCCTCAAGATTAATTGACAATAGAAGGTAATTATTGTCATGTCAGCAATATTTCCTGAAAATCTGAAAGAAAAAGAATAAATAATGAATTTTTTATGAATTTTTATGTGCACCCATGTCATTCCAAAAAAATTAGCAAAAATTTGTCCACATTCAGTTTTCAATTCATATCTCAACAAATATTTACAGGAATAACACCTACAATATGTCATTTTAAAGTGTATAAAATGGGCTTCTCAGGAAAAAAAAAAATTCATCATTGAAACCCAGGACTTTCCTAAAAAGTAAAATTTAAAACATAAAATAAGTAAGACATAGCGTAAAACTTGAGGTCAAAGTCACTTTTCCTCACAGGTGTAGGTTACTTAAGATTAATTGATAGCAGAAGTTAATTAAAAGTGTTTAAAAGATGAGCAATAATGATAACAAGTGAATAAAGTGGGTGAATTGCTTAAGTGGTGCTGCGTCTGTGAGGAGTAGAACTAGATCATTTGGCCTTATCAGCTTTGTTGATAATGTAAACTGATAGCCGTAAAGAGTGTTAAATTTGGCGTTTGGGGCTCACGATTTAACGTGAACCCTCAAAATAAAAAATAAACATTGCTTACTTGTTACGCTGGAATTGCGTAACATTTAGCAAATTGTTGCACTAGATCTGCGTAACGTTTCCTGTTTGTATGTGTTTTTAGCAGTTTTCACCCCAATTTGAAAGTGATTTGTACTGTAAACGTCCAGTATATTCATAGTTCAATTTTGTTCACCTTGTTAAATCCCTGATGAAGTCTGTGTGATCAGACGAAACCGGTTGGATAATAAACGAAGTTGACAAGATCTGCTGCTGTGCGCTGCTCACTAGTTTTTATTTAAAAAAAAAAAAAATTAGCTGTGATTGGTAACTGGTGGTATGACATTGATTCTGATAACATCCCTAATTGTCCACGTTCCAATTATTATTTCCAGATCATTCTATTACCAGTGCTTGATCGACAAATATCAAGGTAAAGGAGAGCATTTTATTTTCGTGATTATGACAACTTAGATGTGGACCAGTATGTTAGAGATGTTGATACGGTTGATTTGATCAATGTATACAATGAATCCATTGATATTCACGAGGAAGCTGTTAACTGTATGAGTATACTCAAGCAAAATAGAAACAAGAATGCACATATAAAGAAAAAGGAGACAATTGGCCAAACAGATAACAACAGTATGCGGGACATCTAAGCTCATTCATGAATGAAGCTGTCTTTTTCATATTGTTGTTGAAAGTGACAACATCCTCACCATTTAACTCCTTTTCAACTCGTGAATTGCGCGCATGCGCAAGAGCGAGTTGTAGATATGATGTGGAGAAGGGCACTCGCTCGATTGGTCGATTCCTGTTAACCCTTTTTTCTTACTTTTATTACGTTGGTAAAATCTGTACAGACATCACACCAACCAACTCGCGCGCAAAGTAAGAAGACTATATTGAAGGCTTGAAGTAATATTGCGATCGATTGTCATCAAGGAATGGGCCAGGAATATCTCACAATAGTGCAAATAATCGTGAAGGCGGATCGCAGAAAAGCGATTGCGTGACGCTCGGGAAGCTGTAAGATGACATGCTATTATATACTAGACGTAAAAACTCTTCAGAGTCTTAGTCTGCATTGTGTACCCACTCTGCAGTCTGCAGTCTATATTTTGTATACGGTCTGCAGTCTGCTGTCTGCATTTTGTACTAACAGGTATCCGTGGTACCAATACAGTTTATTTTTGATTACATTTATTCGCAAAACACACATAATCTACCACAAAATACCTGTGAGAGAGGTAATTCGACATTTTCGTTCTTTCCCACATTAATATTCTTCTCTCCTTTTGTAAGAATGTAGACATCACTCACAATGCTTCAAGCAATCCACCTACCCTACAAAAAAGTAACTCTTGCATGCATAGCATGCCTATGTTTTGAAATAGGTGTATGCCCTTGGCCAGACTTGAGGGCACAATTTCAGTATACTAGTCCGACACCCGTAGTATCACCACACTTGATTCCAAGGATCCAATACCATCCAGGTATCCCAGTTACCCTGCTCACAGGGTCTAGTATCACTCAAAGTCGTTCCCGTTTGTCTCATTTGCTAAAGAGGGAATCGTTCATGTTTTCATTAAGACAGTGTTGCCTTGGTTTTCTAATATTTACAATGATAGACAGTTAATTTCACTTTTCACCCACATTTACTTCCAACCTTTTCTTTTGAACCAGAAACAAAATTGATATACGTTTAAAACACATGACATCATCCACCCTTGGCAAATGTAATAGCATGATCTTTTCAATTGTAACGCCTTCTTATCCCGACGTTACTTTGTTTCTTTGCTGCGAACACTGAACTACTGCTCGTACTCTAGAAATGACAATCAACCACAAAATTCCCTAAACCAGATATCAATAAACATAGTCCAAAAAATCATGTGTCAATTCACGAGTTTGCTCACAGAGCACTTTGATTTATTATTATTTTCAAGGAAAAGGCAAAGTAGGATATACGAAGTGTCGAGGAAAATCATCTGGAAAAGCTCGTTTAAGTAATGATAACCATAATGATAATGACAACAATAATTATAACGACAATGATAATGAAAATAGCGATGATAATGACAAAACAATATTCAAATCAAATGGGAATTAATCCTAGTGATAGAAAATTGATACCATGACAAAATACCTTATTTTGCCAATATTTGAGTAAATATCCTTAATATTTGTACTAACCGTGTTTACCACTGAAGTTCTTTGTGTCCGGAATCTTTCTCGAATAGTTAAGTTAATGAATCCCTCCACACCCATTTGCAATAAATAATATCAGTAGAGATATCCTCCTAGTATTTACAATAAATAATATCAGTAGAGATATCCTCCTAGTATTTACAATAAACATACCTAAAAAGACTTTAAAAGAATTGAAAAGATTTTAAGACCACATTTAGGGCAGCGCAGAATAAACTCTCTAACGCTTTAAAGGTGTAAAAGTCTCACAAAATCATCGTCAAGTTAAAAGGTTGTCGGAACTTGCCAATATTTAGAATACAATTACCACTGAAGTTCTCTGTGTCCGGAATCTTTCTCGAATAGTTAAGTTAATGAATCCCTCCACACCCACTGGCAATAAATAATATCAGTAGAGATATCGTCCTAATAGTTACAATAAATAATATCAGTAGAGATATCCTCCTAGTATTTACAATAAATAATATCAGTAGAGATATTCTTCTAGTATTTATAATAAACATACCTAAAAAGATTTTAAAAGAATTGAAAATATTTTAAGACCACATTTAGGGCAGCGCAGAATAAACTCTCTAACGCTTTAAAGGTGTAAAAGTCTCACAAAATCATCGTCAAGTTAAAAGGTTGTCGGAACTTGCCAATATTTAGAATACAATTAAGATGGGCACGACTGTTTCTAGATATATTTGGAGGAGTCTAAAGGCCTATTTACACGGCACGACTTTGTCGCATGCGACAAGCTTACGACAGGCCTACGACATGACTTAAGAGTCGTAAGCGAGTTGTAGGTTTGATTTACACGAAACAATTCGTGTCGTAAGCCTGTCGTAAGCTTGTCGCATGCGACAAAGTCGTACCGTGTAAATAGGCCCTAAGAAAGAGCAAAAAATGGTGATACTGTAA